ACCTCTATTACCCACTGACTATGGTCCCTCCGAACTCTATCTCATAATGACTATGGTCCCTCAAATCACTGTCACCCTTGGACCACGATCCACTTAGACCACCGTCGCCCACTGATCATGGTCTATTCCAACCTTCGTCACTTGCTTACTATGATATTTCCAACCTTTATCAATTGCAAACTATGATCCTGCTGACCACCTTTGCTTGCCTATTACGGTCCACTTCGATTATTATTTCTTTCCAACTATGGTCCATCGAACCTTTATTGCCCACAAATTATTATCCCTCTGACCTTCGTTGTCCATTAACTATGATCTCTTTGACCACCATCGCCCATCGACTACGATCCACTCTGAACACCTTCCCTCACCGAGTATGATCCGTCTAACCTTCAAATATTATCCCTCCGACTACTATCGCCCAATTATATTCTTCTAACTCCAACTATGTATTTTGATTTATATGATGTATATTTGTTAAAATGAGCCAATACCTTCTCCCAAGGAAAGGCGTCTCATGTAATCACCTATAAATACCAATAAATATTTCAACTAGGCATGACCTCGTGGTTTTTGCCCCTTTTCAGAGGTTTTCATATAAAAATTCTTGTGTATCTTAACATTACCACACCCCTCTATCTTTTTTATGTGTACTTGCTGAATCTTCATTAAAAGCTAAGGCATGAAACTCTTTATCTCTCTATCATCGCGAATGTTCTAGCATGTAACATCTACCAAATCATATACTTGATGTGCATAATATGTTTCTTGCGTTTGTTTTAATGAAATGGGTTTCTAATACATTATTAAGAGTTCTTGAAGATGAAGTGGAAATAAGGCCTTAATGTATCCTGGATTATGACATAAAATAATTAAGGAATAAAAAAATTCCTATGGTTAAAATTAAATGGAAATACAGGTAAGAAAGAATAGTATCATCACGTGACCATTAAGTGTCTATTTTACAAATCGTTTTCATCAGAGCATTCTAGACATATTGGGCTATCTATTTTTTTTTTATTTAATTTTTGGACCCTTGTATTTAAAGATATAAAATAATTAATAAGGATTTTACACTAAAAGCTGAACAATTGACATAATTACTAATGCATCTCCAGATCATTTGATTATTAAAATATTAATCCACCTGCAAAATTTTACATAAGCTATTTCCCATCCCAATAAGGAAAATATAGAAGAAAAGAGAGGACCTAAGGATTGTAGGTCTTATAACCATTTGTGTCGATTAGTGCAGTTAAAAATTTTACTCGTCTAAAGGCAGACTATCATTACCATACCTCTGATTTTAATAAATTTATGTATTATGTTTTATAAATTTTAATGTGGACAAAACTTATAAAAGTTATCATATCTCAATTTTTAGCAAATTTTCGCCATCTAACTTTGAAGAGGTGGCTCATATGGCATAACACTTTACTTGTATAACACTTAGTTTTCATCTTCCGGCTGGTGTATTGCTCTAATACAATTTGTAACAACTCAAACTCTTAACTATTGATATATTGTCCGCTCTGACCTAAGGGCCTCATGATTTTGTCATATTGGTGTAACTTCCTAGGATGTCACCTATACCAGAATTTCTCCGGAATGGGTATCCTTAATGCAGAGTTTTTAATGAAGTTCTAACAATTACACTAAAATGTAATTATTTAAGAGGTTCTAAACATTACACTTCTTTTTACTTAAGGGCTTTCACATTAGTGGCTCTGGTAGATTAATTAACGGACAAATAGATAATTCTTTTAAAATTAGACCCTAGTTTTTACAAATACAATAATATTTTAGATGTGCTAATTATGAGCACCGAATGACATAATGCTAATTGTTTGAACTTTGGTACGTACATGTTCTATTAAAACAAGTGAAATAGGCATATGAAGTGCCTGATGTTGTGGCCGATATGATTTTGTTTTATTTATTTATTTTTTAAGTTAAGCTTTTTTATATAATTTCAAAATTAATTTTGAGATGATTATCAATATAGATACTTGATTTTAATTTTTGAATCATTTTGATTTGGTATGGTTTTATTTTAAGTTTACTCTCTTATACTGATATAGAAACGTCGATGATGCTATTTTTTGAATGTGAGGAGATTATAATAACCTAAAATAAACTTATTTAAAAAATATAAAAATTCTAGGTTGAGCAGTGCAGCACAGTGCTTGTAAACACAACGATACAGAGCAATGTAGTGCCGAAAAATGTGGCCACAACATTGAAGGCTCTATTATATAGTAACTATAGCGGTGGCAAGCATTACTCCGGTGCTATGGTGAATAGGTGTCGTGATACCAAGCACTAAAATGTGTGTGTGTGTGTATATATATTAAACATCAATGTCATCCCTTACCCCCTCCCATCAGTCATGTTGTTTGGCCAGGAAGGAAATGAAAAGAAGGAGAGGGGAAGAGAAGGAAGGGAGGAGAGGGGAGAGAGAAGAGAGAGAGAGCTCTTTGAGAAGGTTTCATTCATCGCTTATGTTACGAATTTTGATCTATTTGAAGTAAGTGACTATCTTTTACTCCTATTTTTGTTGGTTGTAATCTTCTCAAAATTGATAAAAAAATATATATTTTTTCTAAATTATTGAGCTTTCAAAGTGTAACTTTTAATATATGGTGGATATGATCGTCATGAGTATTTTATAGTATTATTAAATTTCAGTAGGTAAATTGGTAGTTATAATTTTTTTAAAATTAATACATAGTATATATATTTCTCTGCATTTCATGAATTATTGTATTTTTGTACACAATATTATATTACATTGAGAAAATGATATAACTAATATATGAGATAAATGTGATATTTATATGTAAGTAAAAAAGGTATTTATAACTAAGTAGTGATGATGGTCTGATGCTACTTCAATTTTACTTCTAGCTTTTGGTTTCTTTTTTATGTATATTTTTTGTAGCCTATGGTGGCATATATGCTTTTGGACATTGAACTTTGAATCAATATATAAATATTTACTATAGAAATGAAATTATATTTATTTCTATTTATTGCTTATATTTTTCTTTGAATGCAATAAGTTAGCTTTGATTGTCAATGATCTTATTGTTAAATAATTAAAAAAGGTATTTGAAGAAAAAGAAATATAAGGAAAATGAAATTATTTCATTTAAGATATTGGGGTATCAAATCATGTTGGGTTAGAACGGGTAGAATATTGTGAAATCCTTTAAGTAAAATAAGCTAAACTCTTAAATATTGATACATCTTTTGGTGTAATGATTTGAATGTCATTAAAAAATTATGCAGTTAAGCGTGCTCATCTCAAAGAAATTCTAGAATGGGTGATCTCCAAAGAAATTACATCAATAAGACAAAACCGTGAAACCCCTTAGGCTAAAGTGGGTAATATCTTGATAGTTAAGAGTTTGAGATGTTACAAATGGTATTAGAATAATATACCTGCTAGAAGATGGGAAATAAGTGCCATACAATATAAAGTGCTACGCCATGGGAGCCACCTCTTGAACCCTGTATTGGATAAAATGTTATATGATGTATGGGAGTCACCACTTGAACTTATAGGGGCCCCCTCTAGAATCCTATATACCCGGTGAAAAATTATGAGATAAAGATACTGATGGAGATGTTAGTTACTTAAGTGGGGGAGATTGTGAAACCCATTAAGTAAAAGAAGTTAAAAATCTTTAATATTGAGATGCCTTTTAGTATAATGGTTGTAATTTTGTTAAGAAATTCTACAGTTAAGCATGCTCATCTTAGGAAAATTCTGATATGGGTGACCTCCTGGGAAGTTATACCAACAGGACAAAACTGTGAGACCCCTTAGGCCAAAGCAAACAATATCTTGATAGTTAAGAGTTTGAGTTGTTACAAAGCATATATTAATTATGGAGGCGTAACACCTTCTTACCATCATAGGGAGTCATGCAAATAAATGACTAAAGTGAACGATCTAACAAAGGCCCTAAAGTGATTGGTGAATTCAAAGTCCAAAGAGAAAGGAGGAGGATCAGAGGATAAATTGTACCTACCATATGAGTTTGACAATATTTAAGGGTCATGAGCTTATATTCTTATGCACACCTTTGATGCCATCTATCAATTCCTCAAAAGGAAGGATGTCAATTAACTTTACTTATGCGTAAGAAAGGAGAGAGAGATACAAAGAGCATTTTTTAAATCAAAGATTATCCAAAACTCTAACATGAAGTGTGCCAACCATCTAACCTCAAAGGTTGTTAGCTTTTTCTTAGGAGAAGTTACATGATGGCTTGTATTCCCCTTAAAACAAGAAGCTATGCATTGCAAGTGGTAAAATTAGATATTTGCACCATTTCTCTAGAAATTATGTTTTGAGAGATGAAACATTAAACACATAATAAGGTTGTCTTTTGAGAAACTAGTAGGCTGGTATAGTCCTTAGCATCAAAGGATCATATCAAGACATATTTCAAAACATTAAATTTTGATGAATAGTTTAGATATATAAGAAAAGCCGATCGATTTGTATTGACCAGAATTTTTTTTTTCCAAAAAGTAGATTGCCCACAAGCATGAGGCATTTTAATAGCAATACTTGACATTCCTAAGAACGATCATCTGGCACTCAAAATTCAACATGATATAAAATAGGAGGATTTACATACATATCACTTTATTTCATGCCATTTACATATCTAACATCCAAAATATTAATATTACATGCTTACCATCCATACAACAAAATTGGATGTATGGAATGAAATATTAAAGTTTATAAGATGATATGAATGATAGAAATGAATTATATAAATGATCTATTTGATATTAAAATTTTATATAAATGATAGATACGTAATATTAATATTTTAAATGTTATATATATAAATAACATGAAATAAAGTGATATATATGTAAATTTTCTTATAAAATATGCTAAAATTTAGCTAGAAGTACAGTAGGTTAAGAAAAATTCTCACTTTACAGTATTGACACCTGATCACAAAACTACCATCTTGATAGTCGTATTAAGGCCGGCTCTCATTTTCGTCATCCTGATTATTAAACCTGAAGCTGATGCCACCGCCAGCCTGGTTATGCCAACTATTTCCCTCTGAACTCTAATAGATTCCTTGCCGGCTCCGCCTCCTTGTCGATCCATCGCAAATCGAGTTCTGTTACCAGATTTGATAGGTAAGGAAGTACCCGCCGCAGCGAAGTTGTTGATGATTTGATGTGGTAGGCAACACCTACAGAGTCTCCCGCGTACTGGTCGTTTCTCCAGATAATAACGTGCCCAAAATCATCTTATCGGTAAGTCTAAAACTTTAGTAAATAGTTTCTGCCGAGAAATCAAAGGAAAAAGAATCGGAACTCAAAGTTAGGTTTTTGGCGTTCAGTTATATGCAATAGTTTGTAGATCTTATTAGAATCGCAATTGAATCCTCAGGGCCTAGCTGGGATTGGGAAGATGACGAGTATACTTGCCTTTGCCTGAGAGCTATTAGGGCCTTACCAAGGGAGGTAGGTCTCATGAAACGATACCATGCATTATTGGATTTGGAACCTTTTTTTTTTTTTTTAAACGTGATTATTCTTAGCTTTTATTTGTTTGGATCCTTTTATTCATGCAGGGGGTTTAATGTTGTAATAGAAGGAACAAGATTGCTGCCATTGGGAAGGCGCAAGATAGTAATACTGGTTGAGATTGAAGAAAATTTAAGGGTACACAGACTTATGGGCCTCTTGTTGTATTTTTCTCAAATTCTGTTTGGTTTATTGTCATTGATTATTGTGATGGTGTTGGCAATATATCTAGCGATTCTACCCCGACATCTGGTACACAACAAGTTTGATTTGCTCTTGCATCCAATACTTCTCTAAGACCATTCACTTGGTTTTTCAACACCAATACCACATGGGCCACACCATCAACATCATCATCACGAGGATGAAAATTTGAAATACTTCCTTGAATATTGCCATCTATTTGATTCCGAAGAGACTTGAATGTGCAAATCAAAACTAGTGAATCATATTTATCATTTTGATGAAAAAACTTGAATGTGTAAATCAAAACTAATGGACAATGTTCAATCATTTTGGCAAAGTATTGCAAGTGAAACAAAATTGATATGAGTTGACCTAAATTGATTAAACAGCTTAAAGAACAACGTTTTCCATTTCCTGAGTACAAGATCATATGCATGAATAATTTATGTGTGATCAGTTAGTTCTCGAGAAGATAAAGATTCAACTAAGCTTGAATTTTGAAGATCAGTTATTAAGTATGTTAGTACAACAACACTATCAACTTGCCAAAAATAGATCCTAATGATCAAGAAAAAGCCAAATTGAAGAAACCATGTGGGAAATATAGCCAAGATGTGGTGGAAGTATCGAAAACATTGAAAGCATATGTATGAGTTTTAATGATAAAATTCTTTTTAGGGGGGATATATTGTGACACCCCAAGTATAGCATGTGACTTAATTTAGAGATTAGTGTTAATTTGGATTTTGGTAGGTGAGCCAAAATGGATTCCGCTTTATGGATTGATTGAAAGCATATTCTAATGCTGACTGACTTGATTTATAGTTCCTTGGCACTTCTATCAAGTGCCCTGAGAAGGTTTATCTTGGCCTAGTTCTAAGAACTTATGCCAAGTAGTATCAAAGACCAAGTAGTTGTATGGCAAGGAAAATTGTTTGAACTATTAGTTATGTGTAGGGTTGTCTTTTTACTCCATAAGGTATCTCTTCTGCCAAAACTATATTTTTACAATTAACGCACACTAAAACATCTAATTTCAATTAGATTTTATAAAGATCTCCATTATCAATATAAAATTGTATAGACTAAGTAATGATCTTTGATGTAACTTTAATTAAGCTTATGAATTTCCGTTATAATGTGTTAATGTTGATGTATGTGTGTATATACAAAACAAACAACTAGGAGAATATGCAAACATATATGCATTAGCTTAATGTAGGCTTCCCCAATTCGCTGCTATTTGGATATATGCTCCAAATTATGTGTTCCGGTTTGAAATGCTTTCTTTGGGTGAAATAGTGGTGTGGGAGTGGGCAGCTTTCCTAATATTCTGGTAGGAGGTAGCTCTGCCTTCCATCTTTTTTCGATAAGAAAATCTTTTAAATTTCTGCTAATAGGTGCAGCTTCTTAATGGTTTTTTTTTGCTTGTTCACTTGAAATATATGAAATATGTTTCTTAGATACAACGTGCAATAAGTTCAGAATAGCTCTGCATTCCGTCTTTTTTGAAGAAAATTTCTTTTCTATAATTCTGATAGGTGCAGTATTATTGATGTTTTCTTGGCTTGGTCATTTGAAATTTGTGGAATATGTTTCTTCGATACAATGTGTAATAAGTTTGGAGCACCATCAGGTTTTACATGAGGATTCAAGAATAAGCTTTGTAGAAAGAAAAGAACTAGAGAGTGCAACTATGAAGTACATGGTGACGACAATAGTTTGAGTAAAGTGCCAAGACAATTTTCAAAAGTCTGCAAATTCAAATCTGTCTTACTTTTGAAAAGTAAAGGCTTTTTTTTCCTTTATGATGTAAGAGGTTAAACATCTAAGAGTAAGATATCTAGGTGATATACAATGACATGGAATTATTTTGTTTCTGGCAATTGATGATTGTAAGGTTTCACTTAGGTTTGCACAGTCTACTCAACTTTCTGTAGTATTTGTATTACATTTTTCCTGGCCAGATTTTATGCTAACTCATGCATAAAATTATTCCAATTTGATTCATATTTTAAAATTTTCTTTATTATTATCTAGTGCCATCTTGATTCAAATGGTGAAAAAGCTATAATCAGTGATTGTTAATGAAATTAAACAACTCTCAAGCAGGAGCAAAAAAGCGAGTTCATCTTCAACCGTCTGTTCTCTTTATGTTTGTGATGAAGCAATACCGCTGTATCCACTCAGCAATCTGTATATGCACTAAACGCCATCTAAGTGAGGATGCAATATTCCTTGTATTTCAACACCTCAACTGGAATCCTAGATTAATTGCAGCAATTTCTTGTGTGTGCAAATGGTTTGATGATATTGCCAAACGAGTTCTATGGAAGGAATTCTGCCGAACCCGAGCTCCAAAGATGATGTTAGATCTGCAATCTAGTGGTAGTCATAGCGTCTATGGGAACTGGAAGGCGCTTGCTAAACTTCTAACATATTGTTCAGGATGCAGCAAAAGAGGTCTGTTTAATAGCACGTATATCCCAAGTCACTTTGTCCATCAAACACGATTTTCAAGGACATCAGGCAAAAGCTTTCTAATTCCACAGTGTAGAACAGATGTCCTGTATGTGTCAGACCCCTGCGAGCATCTTGATCAGGGCGAAGATCGTGATGTGGGCTTTTTTCGTGGTGTCTTCAAGTCATTTTCTGTCTCAAAAGTCCGGAAAATGTTGATTGATAGGGGAGCTAAACTTCATCCAATGGAGGTTTGTCCATACTGTAAAGCAAAGATGTGGAGCATGCTACAGGCAAAGATGGTACCAAAGAGTGCGGGCAGCAGATTGGGTTCTTATGATGACTGCATAGAGTATTATGTATGCTTGAATGGGCATTTACTTGGCATGTGCACTCTATTACCCCTATCTGATTCTGAAGAGACATCTGAAGTAGAGTGATATTTGGAAATCCTTCTGAGGTAATTCATTATAATATCGTTTTTTATTTTTGTTTGCTAAAACTTGATGTATGACTTGCCTATAAGATATCTTGGAATGAAATAAAAAATTACTCTCTCTCTCTCAACCCTCCTTGGAACTCCTGTCCCATCTGGCTTCCATCTGTTGTTCTACACAAGTTTATACACTCGTCTACACTTTATTTGCTTTGCTAAATATTGCACCACAAAAGTTTTTTTTTTATTTTTTTTTATTCTTGGTCGCACACTCTAACCTGCACGGCATGTTTCACAATTATAAGCTTTGCTGCTTCACGTATCACACTTCATGCCGCTGCACATCACACTGCCGCTCTCCTGCTTATACACGTCATGCTTCACATGCGTTTGCTATTGTTGCATGATCATGGCCTATATACAGGTGACCTAGCGGTTGCTTGTACACCATTGACATTTGAGTTTTCAGCATTGCTCCTGGACCATTTTTACTTCCTGAAGTTCGTATGGTTACCCACATAAAATTTCCACCTGTTAGAATGGCATCATCACATGAATGTTTTTTCTGAAGAATGTCAAAATTATGGTGCATAGTTATTTTAGGCTTGAACTCACATGAGGAAGAAAAAAAGTCCACAACTTAGTTTTGCACTAAGTACTAAGGAAAGCATCTAAGTGCCATCGATTTCATAAACAAATGGGCTTTCACAATTATTATTTCATAAACAATTGGGCTTTCACAACTGGACCCCAAGCAAGAAGAAGAAGAAGAGAAGGATAGGAGGGAAGAACTCCTCCTCGACCACTGTTGGAGTTCTGCCCGATGCCCGAGTGACGCCAGAATTCTGCCCGACGCCCGAGTGACGCCAGAATTCTGTCTAACGCTCAAGTGATGCCGGAATTCCACCCGATCTCCAAGTGATGCTGGAACTCTGCCCGACGTTGTAACTGATTTTCAATCCAGAAGTGATTCATTTTAATCTGATCATCCTAAATTTTAAGGACGAATCAGTCTCTTGTATTTAAAACAAACACTAGTGGAATTATTTCAACTAGGCGTGGCCCCGTGGGTTTTCCCTTTTCAGGGTTTTTCATGTAAAAAATCCTGATGTTATTTTCTCTCATGTTTGTGTGCTAAATATCCGTACAACGCTGAGACGAAAATTTTATTACTCTATCGCCGCGTATATTCTAGCCAGCAACAGTACGCGGCGATAGAGTTAGAAATTTTCTTCTAAGCGTTGTACGGATATCTAGCACACAAACAATACATATGACCTTAGGTCATCTCATGATGACAAATTATTCTAGTTTTTATTCTTGTCATTATCATGAGTAATATTATAAAAAGATCTCATAAAAAATATGGATGTCATGGTGGCTATGCAAATCGATATCCCATATCTCATCAACTTCATATTTTGTAATATATTCCAACCCTCATAACTTCATCTACAAGTCGTGATGAATTGAGAAATGAACTATATGTCGTGGGTTCCGAAAATTCGCATCTCGGCCTTTTTGTGCTTTTTTTCCTTTTTTGAGCAGAATTTTATTGGGATTATGTTCCCACATATATTTTCAAAAGGTAGATTAAATTTAAGATGATATACTACTATGATTTTGTGATTTGGTTCTAAGTTTTATATAGACACAAGACAATTACTCCTTTCGATTAATCTAGTCGTTTGATAAGCACTAAGTACCCAATATATAGCATCAATAATTTTAATTTTGATTTGAGTTTTTAGGGTTTTGAAATTTACCACCGTACACTTAAAGCTGGTGGTGAAGAATGGTGACAAAGCTGATCAAAATCCCATAGTTCCATTGTCCCGGTTTGTCTCTGTCTCATATCTACTTAATCAGAGGATACAGTAAACCCAACCTAAGCTAAGGATCTTTGTCGGCAACCATTGTTTGCTTCGTCTAAGAGTATATTGTAGACTTGAGATGAAAGTTTGCCTAAGGGGATAAATTCAAGTTGACCTTAGCCAACAATGGATTTTGTGCTCTGTAAAGTATACATTATGATTTATTATTCAAGATTTTTGAGCCATTGAAGAACATACGGGCTTTGACCGTGATCATAATTTAGTGGGGTCATTTTGTGGCAAAATACTCTATCAGAGGGCCCTAGTTATAATTTTATATGTGGTATCATTGGACGATAAAATCAGTAGTTAGAAGACACATATAACATACTTACTAGTCATAGATTATTTGAGAATGAATCTTAACGGTACGTTGGATTGGACATTTGTTTTTGTGAGTTAAAATTATTCTCAAATTTATCATCCCCGACAAATTGTTGCAGAGAGTAGAATTTTTGCTTTAAGTTTTGGATGATTTAATTTCACTTGTATGCTTTTAATATTATTAAACATTAGATTTTAAGTTTCATTTAAATTTGAGCCCCTGAGTAATTAATTTTGAAATTTAGGGGATTTTATGAGAATTAAGTTGTTCCCTTTGGTTGAGATTTTTGTCAACATGGTCATCCTTAGAGTTTTTAGGCAGCTTTATTTTGTTATTTAAACCTTGTCAATTTTGTTTTCCCGCCTTTAGATGATCAAGTTTAGCTGATGATTTTATGAATTATCGTATGAATGTTGATACTAAGAGTTTATATTTTTATGATCAATTTTTCTTAAGAAGGATTTGAAGGCCAAATGAGAATTTAAAATTACTTATCTCAATAAATTTCAGGATTATATATTTGTTTGTTAATCCAAGTCGTGCCAACTCTAATCCTTTTAATGAGAAGGATTAGACTTGAAATCTTGGTCCATATTTGTCCGCAGAACATTTTTGGACCTTGGATTTAGGAATTTGGTGTAATGGTCAGAGCATATACAAGAATTTTAAGTTTATCTTAAATGACGAGCACACTTTTTTAGTACGTTTGCACAATGCACTTGTACTCTTTTAGGTGCATTTGCTTATTCTATTTGCATGTTTTTTAGTGCACTTACATGATGCATACGTGTACTTTGATTGTATTGGTCCCTTTTTGGTACATTTGCACAATACACTTGCACAATTTTTGGTATACTTATATAATGCATTTGCATGATGCACTTGTATGTCTTTTGGTATATTTGTATAGAATATTTGCACATTTTAATTGAATCAATATGCTTGTTGGAGCGCTTACATGTGCAATTTTTAAATCATTTTCCTTAATATCTTTACATGAATTTTAAAGTAGTGGTGTGTGCCTCTTGAAAATGGATATAGTACAACCCAGATTGACTATTTTCTTATTAGAAAATTAAATCGTTTAGATTGTAAAGATTGTAAAGTTATTCTGAGTGAAAATTTATGTACTCAACATCGATGTTGTTGTTGTTGTTGGTGGTGGTGGTGTGTGCCTCTTGAAGCAGCTGCACAGTTTTTGGGGCAAAAGATTTAAAGTTCATTATAAATTTTCAATCCGCACAATATTCTCAAATGTTACGCCTCTGTATTCTTCGTGCTCGTTTGAGCATATGCGGACTTTTCAATTTAAAAGGGGTTATTTCTCATGCAATGTTCAATGTACTTGCATTGCAAACATGCATGATTTTTAGTACAGTCGTATGTCCATGTACACGATGCATGGCGCACTAGATGCATTTACACGTTTTCAGGTAATTTTAATGGAGTTCGAGGGTTTCCTCGAGATGCGTACATATGACTTGAAATGTTCAGATTTAGTATTTTTATTCGCATTCACAGTTTTTTGATCAATTTTGAGATTGTACGCATTAGAGTTTTGGAATTTTCTCAAAATTTACGTGAGTGGAAAAGTCATGCAAATATTGATTTTCCTGCTCATACTTGCAATTTAAACATTTTTTAAAATTGCCTTTTGTTTGATTGCATTAAATATGATTGTGGATCAGGTGGTGAAGCCAAAATGGGTATGAGTATGGGCACATGCTTCATATATTGTGCTTGAAGGTATTTAAATATTATTTTCATTTATGGTGCAGGCCCAAGTCCTGGATGAGAAAAGTGGAGGGTTGCGTTAGGTAGTCGACAGCCAGCGTAAAACTTGTCGAACAATAATGACATGAATCCTTTAAGAAATTGTGTTAATGCTAGGGCGTCCCCTGGAAGCGACGCGCTGTATGGCCTGAATACAGTGACAAGTGTGCAAGGGCCGCTGCACCGGCGCCCGGGTGCAGTGTTAAATAGGCAAGGGTTCCCACATCAAGGACGGATGTGGGCAAAGAAGCTAGTCCTTGAAACTAAAATTAGGATAGGAACTTGGAATATAGGTTCC